ACATGAATAATAACTGAGTTATTTGACTCTACAAATAGCACATTGACAATTAACCCATCCAAACGACCCCTTATTTGGACATTAAACGAGTTATTTGTAAATAACTCATACCAATGTGTTATTTTGAAATAACTCATTTTACCACCCTGCTTTTACCAAATACAACATGTCAAATACAACATTTGCATGGTTTAACCAAACGAGATACTTTATTTCAATTACCACTGAAATAACACTGAAAGACCACATGAACAATAAATGAGTTATTTAACTCTACAAATACCACATTGACAATTAACTCATCCAAACGACTCTGTAATTTGTTTTACCCAGCGCCAGCAGACCGCCTGTATTTGTACGTAGTCCTAATGCGCACGCACGATCGCACGCACGTACGTTTATAATTTGAGTGGACCATTCGTAATTATGGAATGATGTTGTTGTTTCTTGTGGAAAAGCGATTGTACGCAGACGGCCCAAATTATACTTTGCTGGGTGGGATTCCGATTCTGCTGTACGTTCGTAACATTACGATGATAGAGCCATTAATTGGTATGGGCACACTATAGCTAGCTAGCGCCACAATTATATACACATCATTATTGGTCTAATTATTACTAGCTTTTAAGTTCAGAAAAAAGGTTTCTTGTCCTTTGTAAGACACAGAAACACACCCATGGACCATTTGGATGCAGGATTTTGCTACAATCCTACATAATAAGGGATTTTGGTCAAATAACTGGTTGGGAAAGAGCTGTAATTTTTTTTTTTTTTTTTTTAATAGTTGGCATGAGAGATTTTATTTAAAGTAAGTGACCTCCTCAGCTATTTTGAAATCTCACGTTATAATTTTTACCTTGTAAAAATCGGTCATTCTTAACTTTTCTACGACCAAATCCTAACCCTCCTTCCATCAACAATTGACCTTCTCATTTTCCTCTTCTGTCATCTAATTCTATCTTGTCCTCCAATTCCTTAGCACGACGAAGAGTAAACCGTAGTTGACAATTTTTTTGAATGGTAATTTTATCAGATTTGATAATGTTTTCAAAATACGAAGACATGTTTGATAAAAAAATAGTAAAAAGACATATTTTATAATAAAAAATGCATAGTATATTCATATTATACTTATAACCCTACATTTGTACAACAAGATGTAAAGTAGTGATTAATATTTTAGTCTGCCAATGGTTTCCAATACAAACATTATAAAATCTAATCAAGTTTTTTTTTTAATGAGTAATCTCGATCTAGTTAAAATTCTCATATTAATACAGATGAGAAATTTGATGTAGTGATTTTATTATTGATTTTCAAATTAGAAGCTTCAAGTTAGAATTTCAGAATGAACTTCTCCTCCAGTTGCTTGCATGTATGCAGTGGCGGAGTCAAGAATCTGAATGAGGGAGGCTAAAAAAATTTACGTTCAAAGGTTTGAACCAGCGAGGAGGGCTAAAGTCTTACCACCTACTCTATTATTCAAATTTGCTGTGAAATTTACATGTAAATTTACACAATTTTGAGAGTTGAGGGGGGATATAGTCCCTCCTGCCAACAACGTGGCTCCGCCACTGCATGTATGAAAAAATCTATCATATTAACAGTTAGACTATTATTTTAAGAATATTCTAAAAAGAGCAAATTGTTTAGAAACAAGGTATGTTAGATTTGGACAAGCTAATAAATCAGTTTGACTTTCATTTGAAAGGTGTGTAAGAGCATCTACATCAACGAAATTACAAACTCAATTGCATTTGTTGTTTTTGTTGCCAATTCAACCGTTTTTCAATTCATCTCATTTTACTTTCATTGTACCTACATTCACATCTATTCATTTGCTATTTCATATGTGATTTAATTCCACATATAAAGCAAAAAGGAAAAAAGTTTAAAAACAACCCGTCCTTTCAAATAAAATAGCCATATTGGCTTTCACTTCCACTTGCATTATATGCAAAATTGCAATTGGGGCCTACAGGGATGCAATTACATTTGCAATGCCAAATAAGCATTCCACGTGACTTTGCAATTGCAAAAAAGTGACCGATGGAGATGTTCTAAAGAGCTCGTAATATTTCTCCCAATCATTTAATTTGATTTTATGTAATAAAATGGTTTTTTTATATATAGTTATTTGAGATAAAATGATTAAACCTATATATTTAGATTACTTTTTAGTTGTAGAGAGTATTGGAACTAGCTAGCTACCTTATATTATGTAATAACTCATGACCATATATCAATTTGTTTTCAACTACATAAAAGTTTTAAGGTTGAAATCCATGACAATTTGAAGACGAAGAATATATATATATGTGGGACAGAGATACAAAATCCAGTTTTGAGGAAACCAATCTAGCTAATTGATTCGATCGAGAGCATGCATGCTGCTAGGAGTCAGCAGTGCAGCAGTGGAGGGCTACATCTACATCTACATCTACATAATAAGATACGTCGTAATATGCTAATTAGGGTGGAGGAGGAGCTATCTATCTTATTGTTATGTATAGCTTATTAGCTAGCCTAGCTAGGGTTAGCTAGCAAAAGTGGATTAACATGACATCATTCGTTTCTGTATGATTACGTGAGATATTACAACCCGCTTTAATTTGTTCGTTCCCTCCACTAACTTAACTTAGCGGCCTGCCTGACTGCCACCCACACGTGCGGTGCACACACATACACGCCACCCCATTGATCAGCTAATAATCAACTTTTCTTTTTTCCCCCGGCCGGTTGCTTCTGAATTCTGATTCTCTTCTCGTCTCGGTTGACGACGCTAGCTGCATCATGCAATTGCATTGCATGCATAGCATGCTGCGGCTCCTTGCTTGCTTTTGCTCAATAATCAAGAAAGGAATCCCAATCCCCGCCCACTGGTACTACTGCTAGCTACTAATGTTCCTTCCACCATTGCATCTCCACACGGAACAGGGGAATTCGTATCTGAAATTGAATTCATAAGATAGAGGGAGGGAGGGAGGTGATGCATTGACGGATCAAGCATCATCGCAGCAGCACAAGAACGATAAATAAACTAAAACAACTAAATTAGGGGTTTTCTTCTTCATTGACTGATTAAATCGTGGAAACAAAGTACAAATTTATAAGAAAGCACGAGGAAACCTAATACGAACCTAACCCTACTCGGCCCTAGCTTGGCCGCCACTCCACCCAACCCCCCCTACGAGTCCTAATCCAACACTAACATTACTATAATTATCCCTAAACCTATGACAATACTAAGTATAAGTTTCCCTAGTTGGCTAGGGTACGTAGCCGAATCCCCAAAACACACGGACAATAACTAATAATAGTAATAATATTGTTTATACTCATCAGGAGGGTGTGTTGCTTTGATGTGGTTGATGCAGTAGATCGAGTTTGAGGAGAGGCTGTCATAAATCAGTTGATCCTAATAGCTCGAATTGTTGGGGGGAAAAAGGTTATGTTGGATCTTATATCAGACTCTAATATGGGCGGTAGCAGTTGGGCCTATACTATACTATACTATAGTATACTATACTATATAGTGGTCGTATGGTAATTATAAAGTGGTATGCAAAGGGGCCATTAGATTAGAATTTAGATAGATTTTGTGATGTCAGAAAGGGTCGTGGTGATAATCGAGATGAGGAAGAACAAGTAGAGGCGGGGAAGAGGGAATAGGGCAGCAGAGCAGAGGACCTAAACGTAATATTATGCTCACACACGCACGGCAACGAATCCTTTAATTTATTTTCCCTCTCTCCTTCTTCCTTCCTAAATTTCTCTGCAGCAGCATTTACTACCCCATCCCCTCTCTCTCTCTGTTTCCCATGCAAAAAGGCTGGGCGAAGAGTAAGTAAGTAAGAGCTCAATTTTGAAGAAACAAAAGTGAATTAGTTTTCCATATATATTTTGATTTTGGAGTAAGCTAGCTAGCTAGTGTCTGTCTGGGCATTTCTTTGTTACCGGATGAGGAATGGTTTCAGGTCTTTCTTACCTTTTTCTTTACTTTCTTTCTTTCTTTCTTTCTCTCTTTCTCCTTCACTGCCTTACTGTGTCCGTCTCATCACATGATGTGTAATTTGATATATTTCAATGGCTTCCTCGGCCCCTCTCCCTCTTCCTTATCTGTTCTTTCTTTGTAGGGGTTTTTTTTCCCCCACCCTAACTTGTGTGTTATTCATTATTAATGCCACAAAATTGCTTTAACACTATACATAATAAGTAATTAAAATGCGCAACAAGCATCACTGAATGACAAGGATGCGGATGAAGAAATTATGGTAACCATCCTCCTGTAGACAAAACCAAGGTCAACTCAATGCTGATATTAGCTAGGGCGTAATGTTCACTAATGTCTTGGCCTCGGTGGCATGGCCATGGTTTTGTTCAACAAAAAAGAAATATATATATTTATATACCTACATCATTATTACTACTTTTCTATAATATGACTCGTTGTTCATATTCTAAAACACTCGCGTAAATGCATTTATATAGTTTCGCTACTCATTCGAGATTTGAAGTGTTTTCTTTACGTAATTCACTATGAAAAATGTTGTTTCAAATCTTTTGTTGATTGATAGTAACGATACTAATTTTGCAAGTAGGCAATAAGAAACATAAATGAATAAAAATAAGCAAGAAAACGATCGTACTGTGCATACACATTTTTTTACAATAAAAATTTATATTCATTTGAAGTATACTCATAACACCATAATATCATTATTTTTTTTGTCACCGATCGAAACTATTGTAGTGTCCAATACTCATAACTATTATTATTATTATCCCCCCTCCTCCTCCGTATCTTTGTCCCATATGTAATCATACCTTCATAACAATCCCTTTTATTAAAAACATTATAAATAATCTCTCTCTCTCTCTCTCTCTCTCTCTCTCTCTCTCTCTCTCTATGTAGTACGTACTACTTCAGTTTCAGTGCTATTTTCTCTTCCTCTATAAATTGCATTCCCCAACCCACAGAGCTAGCTCACCTCATCACTCTCCACTCACCACCATGATATGATATCATCTCCCTGAACCTACTTTCCTTTCCTTTCCCCTGGCCACTTTCTTCCTGTCCTTCTTTCTTGGGAGAGTTAGTTATAGTTAGCACTTAGCAAAGTCAGCTGCTTTCGTCAAAACTACTGATGCAGCCGGAGGCGCTGTCCGAAATCGCGGCGCTGGCTGCCGGCGAACTACTAGGCGGGGAGGAAGTGAACGAGCACGGCCTGCCTCCCGGGTTCCGGTTCCACCCGACCGACGAGGAGCTCATCACCTTCTACCTCGCTTCCAAGGTCTTCCACGGCTCCTTCTGCGGCGTCCAAATCGCAGAGATCGACCTCAACCGCTGCGAACCCTGGGACCTCCCCGGTACGTATATACACATTAGTACTCCATCACTCACTCATTAACACACCCTTTCTTCACAGTCACACACTAACAAACGTTCCCAGAATACGGTAAGAGTAAGTTACGCATAACAAAAATGGACCAAGACAGAATGGAAGGGGAAAAATGACTAGCATTTATTGCCATACATTCACCACCTAGCTAATACAATCCGTAACAACAATGATGGTCGTATGATATGGGTCGTTCATTCTGTTTTTTCGTTTATGTACCGCATAGTTTTCCCCCCAACCACCCGTCGCTGTCGTGGACATATATGGTTGAGTGAGACGCACACTACCATAGCTCTAGCTAAGCTAAGCTAAGCTAGGCCCCTTCATTTATTTCAAACCAGCTTCCGTAGATCTTCTGACCGAGGAAATCTAATGTGTAAATTGCAGACGTGGCGAAGATGGGGGAGAAAGAGTGGTACTTCTTCAGCTTGAGGGACAGGAAGTACCCGACGGGGCTGCGGACAAACCGGGCCACCGGCGCCGGATACTGGAAGGCCACCGGCAAGGACAGGGAAGTCTACAGCACCGGCCGCCCGGATAGCAATAGCATGCTGCTGGGGATGAAGAAGACGCTGGTGTTCTACAAGGGAAGGGCGCCCAAGGGCGAGAAGACCAAATGGGTCATGCACGAGTACCGCCTCGAAGGCCATTTCTCCTACCGCCACCATTCCACCTCCAAGGTCGTCTGCTACTCACTCAATCTTTTTGCACCACCATCTCGATCTCCATTTTTGCATTTCCCTGAGCTGAGCTTCTTCACTGTTGCCAAAACTAATCCCTGGCCTGGCCTGGCCCCATCACCCTGCCACACCACACGTGTGCCGTGAGAATCAAGTTACCTTTTAATTTCCCCCTCCTCTCTTGTCTTCTCTTTCCCTTCCATCCATCAATCCATCCATCAATCAATGTGTTTGTCGTCTTGTGGGTTGACTTTAATGCTCCAATGTTTTGTCGTGTTTTGAATTTTTTACCACCCATGTGGACAAGCGATGTTTCGTGCTAATGGGTGTAGTTAAGTCCCACAGAATGGTCACTTGAATCTGAAGAATGGATATGCTATTGCAGGAGGAATGGGTGATATGCAGGATATTTCACAAGACGGTGGAGAAGAAGAGTGGAATCTTCCTCCACGGCCTCCAGGAACTAGCAGCAGCCTCTGCTTCTCTGTCTTCACCATCAGGGAACAGCTACAACAACAACAACAACAACCCGGCTGGTGCATTGCCTGCCTTGTCGGAAGCCGCCGCCGCGGCGCCACCGTCCTCCCCGTCGTCGTGGGAATTATCTCAGCCTCATCAATCAAGCAGCTGCTGCTTCAAGGCTCTTCATCACTTCCCCAATCCACCTGCTGCTGATTTCCTCGCCGCCGCCGATCATGGCGACCTCAAAACCATACTAACCAATGCAATCAACGTCACTGATAATAATAATAGTAGCAACCATGGTTTTGATGATGATTACAACACTGGTTTCCTCAGACAATGCAAGACGGAGCTGGGTGCCGCCGGCGTTGATGATCAACCCTGGCCGTCGTCGTTGTCATCATCTCACGACAATTTTCACCTCCCTCCACCTGCTGCTGCTGCCACCGCCTTTCTCGACTGGGGATGCACTCAGGATCATCAGCGGGCAGCAGCACCGATGAATAATGATTATACAATGCAGCAAAATCCCTTCCCCTGCTTGTATACTCAGGACGATGACTCCGCCACCAACGTTGACTACTCATCACCATCAGCAACTGCAGCTGCTCTTTCGTATCTCGGTTTTCAGTCTCTTACAGTTCCGTCTATCCCTTTCAACAAGCCATCCGGTGCCGGTGGGGGCTTCCACGCGATGATGTTAGATGCAGCAACTGCTCCAACGGTCGCCCGATCATCATGTCTCGGAGATTCTTGGTCGTCGCTAATGGCCGGCGGACACAGCAGCTGGCCAACTACCTAGAGTTTGGCTTATATTAGTAGTAACTCTCCTGCTCCCTAGCTAGCTAGCAGATCTGGAAGTAATTATTCGTAAAACTCTAAGCATGTTCTATCTATACATATAATCAATGTTGTACTGTATTGACTCTAGCACTCTGCACTCAAGCACGGTGCTGATTTAACTACATCAGCTCATTTAACTAGAATGGATGAACCTGTTGTCACGAAAGAATGGATGGACGCGACAATGAAGGTCACAAGGAGGGATACCCTATCTTGAGTGACATTCATTCATCTAGTCTCTACAAGAATGGATCAATTTGACAGATCGCCGTCCCATGGATGGCTAACAATAATCATATCTAAAAAAAAGACTCTTGGCCACATCCAGGAAAAAAGAGAATAAGAACACAAACAGCACAAATTTCATTCAAGATAAAAACGGCTCAAAAGAAATCCAACAATCAATCGCGTCACGTTACCCCCTTACAGCTTTTTATTCCATGCCCAACATTACCATCAAACAGGCTGTTCTTCCTTTCAATTGCAAGGGAAAGGCCTGTGGAACCGGCCTGCAAAAGAAAAAATGATTTACTGTCAGCAACGCACTAAGCTGACCATGTTTATAGCACTGTGATCTCTGCTTCGTTTATTTCTCAAGACGTGAGCTTTCTACTAGTTTTACTCAGCTGCAGTAGAACAATCTTCTGCATTTCAAAGTGAAAATATAACGAACAAGGATACTTCCTAGATCCTACAATTGATCACTGTAGTTTGGTATTCAGGATGCAGGACTGAGGGCCAGGCTTAGTAGAGAAGTGTCTAATTCAAGCTTGATCATCAGAGTCACAGAATAGACATGTTGCAGGAAGGCAGGAAAGAAAGGAAATTGTAAGAACAAGACATAATGGTGAAAAGAATTTCAACTCAATCCCATCATAAGAAACAGCTACGCTTATAAATCCGGGTAGATGCTATTCACCTGGAGGAACTGCCTTAAGAATGTTCAGTCCAAATATAATGGACAAACAACCAAAGGTGGCCAAAACCGAATCATATCGTACCCTGACTTCCAAACCCGACATGAGTTGTAAAGCAATCCAAGTCCAGTGTAGACTGTAGAGTGATCTAACTCAGAGCTAGACAAGAATCCATTGCAACGAATTGTGGGGAGAAGTGATCAGATGGCTTCAATTTTCAGAGAAAGTGAATCATCCCTAAATGTCAAAGCAACGTAGAACCACCATTTCTGTTCATCCGTCCATGAAACATGCCAGTAGCCATTTCCTCAACCAATTCTTTCCAACTAAATATCCCGGTAACCAAAACCAAGCCACAGAAGAGAAACTACATGAAGCTAGATTGACAATTTCTATCACTACCGCACGCTGATACCAATTCAATTCAGCCAACAGGACTAGAGGATTCGGAAGGGTTCAAGATGCCTAAACTGACATGGAAGAACAACTGAATCAAGCGGCGACAAGCAACAAAGGGAAGGAGATAAAATTACCATACCATGAGGATCTCATTTGGAAGAGGCGGAGGTCTTGGAAGCGGAGGTGGAGGAAGACGATGAGCCATAGCGCGGCGGCGAATAGAAGAGAGCGGCGACCATGGCTCCCGGCAGAACCACGTACTGCGACAGGGCAGAAAGCTTCGACAACAAAGGCTCTCCTCTCATGAGCGACATTCTTCACCACTGGTTTCTCTGCTCCCTGCTTCGATTCGTCTTCTTCGTCAAAATCGGCAGCTCGGCGCTCTGGGGTTTCTTCTCGATTCCTTCAATCCTTCTTCGTCTTGCGATTTGCGAATCTCAATCACGGGAAGGAGAGAGAGAGAGAGGGCGGGCGGGGATGAGATCTGGTACTAGTAGCACTTACGGTACACAGAAAGCTCGCGAGGGATCGTGCGGCTGCAGATCATGGCATCATTCCGACCGAACAACACATGTTTCCATCGACGGTGGGGAACGAAAGTGATGATGGAGGCAGTTTTTTTTGGGGCCCGGCCCATTCACTTTAATCCGAAGCGGAATGTCATTGTTGGGCTTGTGGGCATGAAACTGGCGGTCCAGTGGATTTGAACCAACCCACTCGACCCAAAATTTGATGAGACCGTTGTAAAACCTACCGGAAAAGTTAATAATGTATTATTTTGTGTCGAAATTGCGATTCACTTTTTTTTTTATAGAATCCTGTGATTAGCTTTATTCCGAAGATGAAGCAGTTGCAGTTACATTATCAGAAATAAGCTGGTTAAGCAGGCATATTGGGGGTCGATCTAACCAAACCTTCATCTCATCCCACCGTGTCTCTACATGCGCCATAATGTGCGCAGCTTCATTCGCATCCCGACTAACATGCTGAATGCTCTCATCTCCGACCAATCCAAGTTCTCTGTTTATACTTCTGCAAATCACCCCCAACTCCGTCTGGTCCTACAATGGTTCCCGAACACACTTCACAGCCGTAGAACAGTCTATCTCCACTACTACATCCCCCAGCTCATGCTGCTTGGCCAAAAACATTCCCAGTTCCACCGCCATTTAGGGATGGCAACAAAACCCGAACCCACGGGTACCCACCCGTCCAACCCGGTCAACGCGGGTAAAACCCGTGTTGACGGGTTTTGGGCCGGGTTCGGGTTTAAACCCGCTACACTATTCATCGGGTCGGGTTGGGTTTGGGTTTAGGTAAACCCGCCCCATGAGTATCCGCCCACACACATATAATTACTTTCCCGATATATTTAATATTCTAAATAATATATCTTTTTTAAATAACTAATATTCTTTATGTTTGTGGAGACATGTATAATTTCTTCTTTCTAATTGTTTAGAATGAAGTTGATATTATGAAGTGGAGAGTGAAGAAACTTAGTTGGCGAGGAAGAAGCTTTCAATTAATCTTATTGTTTATGGATGTTTATATTTAATTTTGAACAATTTTTATTGATCATTTGCGGTTTGCTTGTATGCTCTAGATTGGTGTTTTTTGTATGATTAATTTGTATGAGAAAATTAATGTTAAACTTTTATTTTGAAAGAAACTTGTTATTGTAAATTTTTACCACAAAAACCCACGGGTACCCATGAACCCGCGGATACCCAGCGGGTTGGTTTGGGTTTGAGTTTTTCAAACCTAACGGGTTTTACCCCGGATTTTTTTGGCGGATAAACCCATGGGTTTGGGTTTGGGTTTGACAAAACCCCCCAACCCGACCCATTGCCATCCCTACCGCCATTGCTTCCCCACAAGCTGGATCAAAGCTCCCTTTCACCCTATTAGCGGCAGCTAGGATGAATCTTCCTTCATTGTCACGAACTACAACTCCCATACCAAGACCCTCATCACCAATACCCGCATCTGCATTAACTTTTACTCTCCCTGCAGGGGGCTTTGTCCACTTCTTCACAGCTGGCCTCCCACCTGTACCCACCTCGCGCGCTTGATGCTGTCTGTACTCGTCAAGAAAAGAGATGGCTCGAGGAATAATGTCAGCCTCGTCCATCTTAGCACCATTAAATAAATGTGCGCTCCTTTCTTTCCATAACGACCACAAGACCATACTCCAATCCTCAATATCACTAGGCGAAACTGTGGCCACTACCTTCTTGAACCATTCCATACATGTCGACTGTCCCCTCAACTCAAAATAGTGGCGAACATGAGAGACTCGCCACAATCTGGATGTCCACGAGCATTCATTAAACAAATGTACCCGCGTTTCCTTTTGGTTGCAAAAGGGGCAAATATCACTCCTACGCTGGCTCCGTTGACTTACTCGTTCCCCCGTCGCCAAGGTCTCCAACACGAAACGCCACAAGAAAGTTTTTTCGGTTGGATCGCTATTATGATACTATTTTTCAAATACTAGATTAGTGGGTTGGACCAATGGTAAACCCAGAGACACCCAACAATTCGACAGATTTTGATTCTTATGTATCCACTCATGGAGTACTTACTTAATTTTACGATATATATATATATATAGGTACTCATCTACAACCGAAAAGCCGTATATTTTGGAAGAACCTTGTACAGTTTAGGAAGAAAAGGGTTTAAAAGAGTGTACCTCCATCAGCAGCATCCGGTTGGTCCCGGCCATGGTTCATCCTTGTGAGACTGCTGGTAAAGGACCGGTTTGGGCTGATTTGCTCGACCCGGGGGTCAAGAGTCAAGACTGCACTGTTAGTCGGCATGGGGATTCAGATCATTCAGCAGGTATTGATTGATGTGTTTTCAAGCTCCTTTTGATGTGTTCTTTGGCTGAATTGTGTATGTGTTCTTTTTTTGCAGTTTTCTGGTATAAATGTTCTTTACTATACCCCTCAAATCCCTGAAGAAGCAGGAGTAGAAGTTCTTCTTTCAAACTTGGGAATCAGTTCGGAATCTGCATCGTTCCTCATTAGCGCCTTCACGACTGTGCTGATGCTTCCATGCAATGCCATCGCCATGCCTTCTGATGGATATCTCAGGCAGAAGGTAGTAGTATATAGGTGAAAGTTAATAGAGCCTGAGTACTCGATTGAGGTGATGTTGTATCATTTACAGAGAGCCTTTCCTGGTTCCACAATACTGAAGATTATTCTCCCACAACTTCAAAATTGCAACAAGCAAAAACAAATCACCGGGTTTTCAAATTTACATTTCTCGCCGCTGTACAACTGAGCAAAGTAGCGAAGCTGAAGTCGCATATAAAAGTGAGCTACACCCTTGATAGGATTACACTTCTGCTTCATATAGCAACTAAGGTGGAAAGTGGGTTGCAAACAAACAAAATGGCAAAAGCTACTTATGGTTTCTGCAGTTCATCAGAGGGTGCAGTGCTGTTGAAGGAACTCGACGAGCTGTTAGAGCTGGAGGGACTCGAGTTCCCATCTTGATTCGCCGAGGGATTCTGATCCATGGCTTCATTAGACTTGGGATGCAACTTCAATGATCTCTCGTACGCTTTAGCATTGTCACTGTCAATGAAGAACTTATTGAGCTTTTGATCCTGCAGAAGGAAAAACACTCGAGAGTTTTATCTAAGAAACGAACTCGACAAAATTCCTACCAACCACTCGACCAGTCATCAATCAATAACCCACGTTTTACCTGTTGCAATCCTTCGAGTTTCCGCTGTAGTGCCTCATGCTCAGCCTGAATACGAAATGGGACACCGTGCTTTTGATACACATTAGTTTGAGCTAAGCTTTCATCGATATCACTGGAAGTAGTCGCAAAAGGATGGTTTGCAGGGATCCATCTAACTGACTCGGGATCAACATCAGGTGGTATCGAATCGCCTTCTTTGAGGAACATCGTCGGTCTCTTCCACTGATAAGCTCTCGACCTCCTCCTCTGATGGGTAGCTTGCTCTTCCTTGGTGAGTGTAACTGGGGACAGCTTATAAACCTTGCCACACATCTCCACAGTCGAGTTGCTCTTGCCAAGTTTCACATACGGATTGTTGAATGGGTCTTCATACTTCAGACTGGAGATGCCTTGTGCTGTAAATGGTTTAAAAAAAAAAGAATCTTACTTCACCTAACGAATTGGATAAGGAATCAAAATTAAGGGTCAGTATTAATGGGGGAAATGGGGTTGAAACCATACATGCCTCTTCTATCAGACCTCAGCTGCCCACGTCTGACGAGATCAGCCACAGTTCCTGGACGATTGTGCTTTGATTTTTGGGTCATCCCAACATAGACTCTCACAGCGACGAAAAGGAAAATTGCAGTAGCAGTGGATAACCAGATCGCTTTGCTATTACATCCAGCATATGTTTTCATCTGAGACAACCCACAAAGCAATTGTAAGGAAAGTTGCCTGAATAAGAAATCTGCAGTGTGAGGATAGACAGTAGAAATGTTTACCGAAGAGACGAATGGAGAAAGAGGGGAAATTGCAGCCTGCAATTTGGCGACGACGACAAGGGTTTTGGAATCCGGCGAATCGTTAGCGCTATCGATAGTAGCAACAACCTTCTCGTCCTCAGAATCAGCCGGGAAATCGTTAGCGCTATCGCTAGTAACAACAACCTTCTCGTCCTGGGAATCAGCCGGGAAATCGTCAGCGCTATCACTAGTAACAACCTCCTCGTCTTGAGAATCAGCTGCTGCTCCTTCAGCCGAGCTAACTGAATCGCTCACTGCTTTCAGTAATCGGAATCCAATCATCCGGGAACCAGATTTCGGAGGATTTCGCCTCGACGGACATTGGAAAATCACGAATCCGGTCCTGAGCTGCGTTGCGTGGGGAGATACACAGTGCTTTGCGAATGTCGGAGATGGCTACAGATGAGCGAAGGCAATTAAGAACAACGAGAATCAAAAGCGAGGGGTGGATTTGCAGGAAGTGTACCTGAATCGAAAACGAAGGCAAATGGAGAGCCGCCATTTCCATGCTGGCACCGATACTGAAGAATGGAAGAGCGGCGATTTAGGGGAACACGATAATCAGTCACTCTTATGGCGGATTCAGAGCTCCATATACGGAAGACGAAAATGGGGGATTAGGGTCTAGGAAATGGATTGCCGTCGCGGAGGAAGACGAGTGAGGAATTCAGCTGTGTTACTTCAGTTCTTCATCCACCACAACTGGGCGCCGCTTTTCAGTTCTCATTCAGATTAAGTAAAATAAAACATTACCCAAGATTACCCAATAAGTGGATCCGTGGCGCAATGGTAGCGCGTCTGACTCCAGATCAGAAGGTTGCGTGTTCGATTCACGTCGGGTTCAATTCCCTTGAAAATCCACTAATTTTTTCTTTTTTTAGCGGAAAGCTGCTACCCGAGTCAAATTGATTGGGCTGGGCTGGGCTTTTGTTTCCCAGAGCCGAATTGTTGGGCCAGAAAGATGCGACGCCCACTAACTAGAGGGAATAAGCTTTTATTTATTTATTGAGATAGATTAGTGGTTCTATTATTAAATAATTAAATGGGGTTTTTTGGGCTAATTTGTACTCATTTGCTAAAGGTCATTTTGGACAACCTCAGGTGGATTTTTTTTAATGTTAAATTGAACGGCTCCAGAGAAATGGAATGAAAAAAAGGGGTCAAAATTATGATTATTTATTTATAGGCTAGCTAGCATATATATGCTATTCCCTTTGCTTGTTGAGTGGACTATAGACTACCAACACTATCTCTTGTTAATGTTAGGTCAAGACAAGAATGAGAGGACAAAAGGATGATTAAAAGAAAGCATAGATGATGATTAAGTGGTTGTTGGGAAGAAGATTGGGAGGCTTTGCACTTTTTTGTGCTATTTGTGGGACTTGTTTTTCTATAATTAGTGAGTGAAGTGATGGAATAAGAATTCCTTGACCTACTAATAGAAAGATGATTATTTAGCAACAAATCATGAATAATTTGTATGATTTATAATAGATTTATAAGGTTATCACTAAGTATTAATCAATTTGATCCTTTTCTGGCATAATTTCAGTTTATAAATTCTAGCGCAATACGAATGGAATAATTCTATAAATTTTATCCCAAATTTGTGGACAAAGTGATGTGGTTGGTCGCTCTTTTTTTTCCCCCTTCTTCTTTGCTTTGTTCTTAGTTAGTGGAAGAAACCAACTTTGTGACTATTGTGTTACTATGAGTGAGCATTGATATGATAATTCCATTTCAAATTCCAAATCAAGTTATTCTCTATGACTTAGAATCAATTAGACGGAGAAGATGCACTTTTAGAGGGAATGTAAGGTGATAAAATTTAGTTAGAGGAAATCTATTCACACCTAAAGATTAACTTGTCCCAAATCGCTTCATGATTACGCAATTTATCCAGACAAAAATATCACGCATTGAACCCTATCCTGAAGCATGTTGGTGGAAAGCGGTCGCACATAAAATTGCTTCATACAAGCGATTTACCTGCATCGCTTGAATCTAGCACCACGATTGCTCTTTACAGAGGAAAATAATGTAAATTGCAATATACTATTGCGATTTTAGTTCCTTCCCATCTACGTACTTTTACAAGCAATGAATACTGTCCGTTGGAGGTTGTGACGATTTGTATTGATCGATATAGTTATCTCTGCATACCTAAATTGCTTAAGTGAGCAGAGATCTAGTCCAAATTTTGTATGTTGGAATTTTTAGTGTAATTTTATATATGGTAAAACTTGTTAACAAGTTATCTATTTTGGGGAAAATCCACAGTTTTCCATTTCAACCTACACTACTAGAATTAGGTTAGATTAAAAGTACTTTGCTTATTCATCCACATAAGGTAGCTAGTTACATAAACAAATATATAGTGTTTGGCTAAATTGCAAGTTTCGTCACTTGAATTACTAGTTAAATTCACGTTAGCCATTAGAATTATTTTATTCCATCCGTTGTCACTTAAATTAGGTTAACAGTTCAAGTTTGGTCACTGGCCGTTAGTTTCCGTTAACTGTTGCTGATGTGGCGAACAACTCTTATAGTTGACCGTTAAATGAGTGACGTGGCAATTAAAAAATAATAAAATTTAATTTTTAATAATTTCGGTCTCATTATTACAATAAATTAAAAAGTAATTAAAAATGTCACAATAATTTAAAAATAATTTCTACCACATTGCAAGAACTGGCGCCGGATCGACCCCGACGACTCTGCCTCCGCCTCGAAACCCTCCCACCCTGAAGTACAGATTCCTCATCGCCTCCAGATCCCCGACGGGGTTCCGGAGAGATCGACCATCAACGGCGCGCTGGTCATCCGCAGCTGGGAGAGTGGGTGGTGCTTCTAGGGACGCCGGCAAGGCCAGATATTCGGCTCCTACAATCTCCGGTTCTGCTGGCCGACCAGCTTCGTCCGACTCCCCGAATCCACACTCAACGACACGATGGTAGCGGCGGCGATTTCGGCCCCACCGACCGTCAGAGAGTGGGTGATCCTCCTAGGGCGCCCGCAGTTTCAGGACGCTAGATGGGTGAGGGTTGCTGCTATGAAATTGAGCCCCAATTGGAAAGGGAAGCAGGGGCATACGAACAGGGATCCATGCTACAGAACCTATAGAGAAAGAACATATGCACCTAGTAGCTAATCTTTTAAAGCAGATAAAACTTGCAGCCATAGAACACCCCTGAGAAATTCTAAGCACCCAGATCCAGGCCTCCACAGGTAAATGATTAAGTGCTCCCTCTCTCGCACCGACAAATTTGCAAAATTTCATTAACCCTTGAATTTCCGCTGTCGAAAATGCAGAAGGAAGGACATTAACTGATAAAATCCCCTGACAACAACCATATCCTTTTAATCGATGCACAAGCAGATAGGCAAATGCAGACTCAATAACAAAAGCCAAACATTCCCTAGTCAAAAATGTCAAAGAAAGTCCGGATGCGGTCAAACAACCGGAATTTTGGGGCGAGGAAGGGGAAAAAACAAGAACCCACAAAAATCAAACAGAAAAAGGCGGAAGAACAGGAAGTAAATCTGCTTCTCCTTCGCCAGATCCAAACAGTACCCAAAAAATTCATAAATTTCAATGAATTCGTCAACAAAATTCAGACGAAACCACCGGTGGGGAATTCAAACAACCCAGAGAGGCAGAGACGCGACGAAGCTGACTCTCGTATCAGGCCATCAAACATTATCCACATTGTCAACGTTCTGACGAGAGAACATAACGAAAGGGCGGGAAGAATGAAATTCAGGGGGGAGATCCAAGAAAGCAGGGGAAACAGAGGAGTAAAATTGTAAATGAAATCACCTTATTCGACGGAGCTGGGCGAGATCGGGAACAGGGGAGGGCAAAAGGGGGAATGAGGATCGAGCTCTGGGAGGCACCCAGCCGGAACGCCACCTCGTCGGCGGTGGCTTCTTCTTCAGCCCCGCTCAACCAGATTGCGGAAGAGAAGTATTTTCTCCTCCGACGCGGAAACGTCGAACGGTAACCGCCGTAGTTAGGGCTGGGAAAATAGACCAGACCGTTAGAAAAACCGTGGTCCAAACCGTACCTCACAGTTTGGTCCAGAACGTAGACCGTTAAGTATGGTTTGGTCTGGTCCATGGTCTGTATTATTTTATGTTTTGATCTCTTGGTCTGGTCTGGTCTAGACCGCGGTTTACCGTACCAAACCGTGGACCCAACCGACTTGTCAATACGTGTTAACAACCCATTCGACCATTCTCCAAACTCCCACAACGACACCCAAGTCTCAACCTTAATTTTTTGAATCTCATTCCTCCTTCATTCACAACCGCATTTAACCAGAGAGTAGAGATAATTGTGTCTCCATATGACATTATGTTGATTTTTATGACGTTATGATGCAAGATGGGATGCTTTTACTTTGTATCTTTCTTATGTACTAAGATTTAGGGTATCAAAATTATTCATGCATGTTAGGATTAACGTTTTAAGACAAATAACAATTATTTTTCTTGGTTATTGGTTCAATTTTTTGTGTGGTTGACTAAACAAATTGTTCATTTTTCATTCAGTGTGGTCTATCTAGACCAGACCAGACCGAACCAGACCGCACAGGCGTGGTCTGGACCAGACCGTATAATCTGTGGTCTGGTCTGTGGTCTATACTTCAGCCTCTCGGTCTGGACCATAGACCGTATATATGGTCTGGTATGGACCAGACCGCACAGTTTCCCAGCCCTAGCCGTAGTTGAGGTGAAAATTTTTAATTTTAATTTTTTAATTGCCACGTCATGCATTTAACGGTCAACTATAAGAGTTGACCGCCACATCAGCAAAAGTTAACGGAGACTAACGGCCAGTGACCAAACTTGAACTGTTAACCTAATTTAAGTGATTATAAATGGAATAAATTAATTTGAGTGGCAAACGTGAAATTTTGTAGCAATTCGAGTGATCAAACTTGCAATTAAGCCTATAGTGTTTGATTGATTGTCTTGTCAAAGTCCATCGTTAGCTTAAGCTAGTCGACTCGTGCCTTCCTCGTTCTTTCGGCTTTGACGCCGCCAAGAACCGACATCAACTACTTTGGGAGCGTCCAGACTTTCAGTTATCTTTTCTCCCTTACCCCAATATGACAAAACCAAATGATAAACAAAGTAAACCACTAATTAGGAAGATAAGCACCCAACCAGGTCCACATCTGACATGGGTCGGTAGATGATTTAGTGGTTCGTTGTACATTGTCGTTTTTATCTATCCACTTTTTGAGAGTGATCGAATGAAAAAAAGTTCCCCAATTGAGACTACATATCTTGCACTTAAACTAGCCGGCCCTAAACTAGTTTAGAGGTCAATTAGAACTTTTGATTGAGGAAATAGTGTATTAAGGATGTGTGTATTAAGACCTGTGTGGGTGTTAAAAATTCATTGTTTGGAAAACATAAAAGAATGCATGGATTCTTACATTAAATGAACCGTGGATACTATCAGGCCGTTTACTTAGTAGATGTGAAAAATGAAGGTTTTGGTGAAATCTGGATTTTGAAAACTCATGGATATGTGAGAGTTTTGGGTTCGGTATGGACTTGAAATAATACACCATTGTTTGTGATAAATAGATTTCATTATGGACTTTGGTAGTTAGATTTGTATGTAAGAAGTGAAATCGAACTTTGTTGTCCTAATTGGTACGAGGAGAGATAGGAAAGAGGAGGGGTAGGTTGGTCACAAATGATGGACTTTAAAGTCATTGATCAATTCTGGCATAAAATGGGTGGGATTTTCAAGTCCCTGGGCACCACGAGTTTGGAACCTCAAAGTTCGTGGATTCTACAGATTTGTTTCCCCAAAATAAACAGATCAAACTCAGAAAAACCGTGGTCTAATAGTGAAAGACATCTTAGTACCAAAGACCATACTAACAGTGTATTCGGTCTGCTTTGGTCCAGTCCAAATGTCAATTCAGTTCATTTTTATAGTATTTATAAAATTCACGAGACTAAAAACAAGACCATATTATATTCGATTCGATCTGATTCGATCAAATCATTGATTTGGTCTCATGCGGTCCGCCACAGACCAACCCGTTTCACACCTCTAACTAAATCTCACAAAAAAAAGAGATTAAATATACATAATTTTCTATGTATTAGGAATATCACATTTATTCTCAATACATGTATTTATGCTCAAATAAAATCATAAAACATTGTATTATGTAAAATACATGTATATTAAAATACATTCATAAATGGAATAAGTATGCAGCTGACCAAACTAGTCATTTACTAAAGCGAGTATAACTCGTCCCCGACCCAAAATCCGTCAACTCTGGAGTCAACTCGGTTTGACCGACATTATAAAGTGGGGTGAGTTTTTAATAAAATCCACACCCAAGTCAATTCGCTAACTACAAAAGCGGATAAAATTCGTTTCCAATCCATAATCCATCAACACCGGATTCAACTCATTTTATCGAGTCAAATTAGGTTGAATACACATGAATTTCGTTAGAATTAAGGTTTTCAAACGAGACTTTTTTTTGGTCAACCCTCTCCCCCTACCCACCACTCTTTATTTGTAGTTAGTGGGTTGGACTTGGGAACGAAACGAACACTTCATACATGTAACTGTAAGTGCTTACAGACAGAGTCTTGGTTAGTGGGTTGAATAATAAACCGGCACTGCCGCTCCTTCCCCTTCATAGCTAGTGGGATTCTTCTATTTTTTTCATTTTCCCTTCCTGTAATACTACTCGTATCGTGACAAAACATATTTTTCTAATTAATCAATGTTAATTATGATCATATCTTGCTATTTCATTTCGAAATATTTCTAAGAAAAAAAGTGGATATTTATAGGAATAAATGTTGCGAACTATATGTGGTGAATTGAGCATTATGCAACAAAATATTACTACATGTACGTTAAGTGCTGATGTGGCAAACAGAATACAAAATTTGGTCACTGAGATTACAAAAATCGGGACATGTTTAGTCACTAGAAAAAGTTAATATCAAATTTGGTCACTACAATTACTAAAACTGGACGCATTTAGTCACTCGTCGTTAGTCTCCGTCCAACTCCGTTAATGAAGTCCGTTAAGTGCTGATGTGGCAAACAGAATTGCCTAATCAGCCGGATATAACCCAACAAAAATAAAACCCGACCCGCCACGTCATTATAACCCGCCACCTCATTAAAACCAACCCAACCCATGACCCAACCCTACCCAACCCTTCTTCCTCCTTCCTCCCCAACCCAATTTAGGGTTTTCCCCATCCCATCCTCTCCCGCTTTCACCATCCTCTCCCCTCCCCCGGGTACGGCACTGGTGGAACAAGAAGAAGGGTTTTCTCCCGGAGATTCATACTCGATCGATGTGTACTGCGGGAAGAGCTCGGCGGGGAGATGCTCTTCGCTGATGGAATCGTACTGCGGGGGGAAGTGGTTGCGCTGGAAACAGAAGGGGCAAATCCAGATCTTGGCCGCGAAATCGACGATTGCGAAAGGGTTGAGCACGAAGCGGCAGGTGCGGCAGCGGAGAGGAGCGTAGGGCAGGACCGGCATGTTGGGGAAGGGCTTGATCGGAGTGTAGATCGCGGCGATCGGAACGACGCAGTTGGCCGCTTCCTGTTTGGTTCCCGGAAGCACATTCCACGGCATCCTTACGCCGTCCTGAGTCTCCAGCTCCAGGAATTCCGCCATTTTTTCTCCAGTTGGATGAGATGGGAAAACCCTAAATTGGGTTGGGGAGGAAGGAGGAAGAAGGGTTGGGTAGGGTTGGGTCATGGGTTGGGTTGGTTTTAATGAGGTGGCGGGTTATAATGACGTGGCGGGTCGGGTTTTATTTTTGTTGGGTTATATCCGGCTGATTAGGCAATTCTGTTTGCCACATAAGCACTTAACGGACTTCATTAACGGAGTTGGACGGAGACTAACGGCGAGTGACTAAATGCGTCCAGTTTTAGTAATTGTAGTGACCAAATTTGATATTAACTTTTTCTAGTGACTAAACATGTCCCGATTTTGTAATCTCAGTGACCAAACGTGTCTTTAACCCCAACTTTTTACATATATAGTTAATCCCCAGATAAAAATTACTCTATCGACCTCTAATTTCTAATCTCTAGACACTGCGACATTTTCCCCTCCTTCCACCTTTTCACCTTTTCTACTGCTCTGACTAATTAATAGTTTACAGTTTAACCCCAATAGAGAGAGAGAGAGAGAGAAAAAAAAAGGAAAGGAGAAAAAGTAAATAACGCGCGAAAATAGGGAGGGGGGAGAAGATCTAGGGCAAGAATCGATTCCCGTCATCGACATCTTCTCGCGCCTTCAATCCAGCCTCCGTTTCCGGTCCTCCTCCTCCCCCGGGAGCGGCGGCGGCGGACGAGGAGCTCGGGGGCACGCCTCCGCACTTCTGACACCGGTTGACGACGAGTATCTGCCGGCAGGAAGGGCAGGACGAATGGCTGCCGAGCCAGGTGTCGATGCAGTCGACGTGGAAGCCATGGCCGCACTGCGGGAGCACCCGGAACTCGTCCCCGGCCGCGAATTCCACGAGGCAGATGGCGCAATCGGTGAATTTCGCAGCGGCGTCGTCGGCGGGGGAGAAGGTCTGCTTGGGGAGGGCGCGGAGGACCTTCTTCTTCACTCCCTTGTTGGCCTGCGAGGAGCTCGGGGCCCCCGGCGGAGCCCTGCCTCCCCCCGCCGCGGCGGCGGGTCCGGAGGAGGAGAGGCGGCGGATCCAGGCGCAGCGGGCGACGGCGACGAGGCCGAGGACGCAGATCAGGGCGCAGAGGAGTGCGGCCAGTATGACGACGAAGTCGCTGTCCACCGGCGGGACGGGCGGTTGGGAGTCCCCGGCCGGTGCTGTTGTTGCTGCTGCCGGCACGGAATCGAGCAGCCTGAATGGACGAGTCATGTGGAGGAGCTGTAGAGAGAGAGAGAGAGAGAGAGAGGAATTGGGGATTTTGGAATTGGGGATTTTGGGGGTTCATTGAAGGGGTTTAAATAGAAACTTCGAAGAGAATTTTTAATTACATTGTTTATAAGGTGTAATTTGGCTGTTTGGCATATGCTGTTACCATAATCGACAGTTTGCTGCTGAATTTCACTGTATTCAGTCCGTTCATTGCGCTCCTTCACCAGCACTACCTTTTTACTTTCTTTATTTAAAACATAATCAACCAACCTACCTACTTACTTTCCCCTATTACTCCTCCATCTGTCTAGTTGCTTGGTTAACACACCATTTCGCGCTTACTTGTCGAGTAAGATCTTTGGTACGGTTTTATAGAACATGTTTTTTTTAGCGTGAGTAGAGACTTAAAATGAACATTATATCACTTCTTTTGTACGCCTCATCTTAAAATGAAAAAAAAGTATGGCTTAGTATATTGGCAAAATACACTTGTGTAGCCAAAACTTTGACGGTTTGGCCAAATATAGCCACTTCCGTCCAATTCTTTAACGGTTTGAGTTAACGTGCTGACTGGACTAACGGATCATCCGACCTGGCGATTTTTGTCCCATACGAATGTCCCACTTGGATTTAATTAAAAAAATTAAATAAAATAACAATAATTAAAATTTAAAATTCTCACACGTCCACTCCTCCCTCACCTCCCGATACACCCAATTCCCAGATCTACTCTCCCGCCGCCGCTGCTGTTCTTCTCTGCGGAGTAGGTCGAAACCCTACCGGTGAGGAGCTCTAGTGAAAGACCTCCGTAGTCGGATTTCGGTCGTGTGAGATTAGGGATGTCAATCCAACCCGTAACCATGGGTACCCTATCCGACCGTAACCGGTCAACGAGGGTAATTACCCGCTTTGACGGGTTAAGGGGAGGGTACCGGTAATACCCGGTTTCAAAATAAAGGGTAGGGTATGGGTATGGTAATCGATAGTACCCGCCCAGCTATACCCGCCCCGCTAATCAAAGGGTCAATTTCCCTTGAGAAATTTAGTTTAGCTTGAGAAATTGAGTTTAGCTACCATTATTGATGATGAAGATGTAGACGATTATTATTTTTGTGTGAATTGTAGAAGCAAGAACAATTATTATGTGTTTGTTGTTTTTATTTGTGTGGATTGTTGAAGCTAGAACAGTTACAAGTATTGAGAATTTTTAATGGACAATCGTATGTATGTGCATATATGTGTATAAATTCATAATTTAGGATTCATACCCATGGTTACCCGAATACCCGTGGTTACCCGGTGGGTGGGGTATGGTTATATAATTTTCATACCCGGTGATTATTTGGTCGGGTATTTTAAAAGGCTCTACCCGGCGAGTTAGGAGTTGGTATAGGGTAAACCCACACCCGACCCTACCTATTGCCATCCCTATGTGGGATTGCTCTCTCTGCCGCCGCCTTGGCGGTGGTGTTACGGTGGAGATACGCCATTCCCATTGCTACTCCTTGCACCACCATCAGCATCGCGTTACATCGGAAATTGATTTTGTCCTTTGTCCCTCTTCCTCCTGTAATTTGGGCGACAACACTAGTTAAAAAGACTCCATTTTTGTGATTGCTTTTGAAATTTCTACAAGAAGGGGAACTGAGAGTTTGAAATAGATAGGGAGTCCGAATGGGATTTTAGAAGTGGTCATTATCTGCAAATCCGGAGACGAGAAGCTTCTCATCCTATGAAATGAAGTAAGCCAAAGGCGGCAACAAATTCGAACGCTTCTGATCACCAATGGAGAGTGGATCTGAGTCTCGTGATGAACGACGGCGTAATCGAAGCAGTATAGCGACGCCTTCAAATCTGCTCCAAATCCCCGCCGCAATCAAACCCATAATCCCCAAATTCCTGCCGTCGTCACTCTCCGCAAACCATTTCCTCATCCTCACCACCAACAAAGGAGAATCGAGCGCTAGTAGATCCCCGTCAATCGCTCGGCTACAGGAATCTCGCCGACGGGACAAGATCTGTTCATCGTTGGTGCCCATAAATCAGTTCTTCTGGCTGGAGGTTGAAGTCGATGATTGTGGGAGTTGGGTGAATGAAAGGGAGAGATAGAGAGAGAGGTTGGAGCAGATTGGAGAAGGAGACGAACAGATGTGAGAGAGAGGATTTGTTGGGATACGATGAAATCAGTGAAAAGAATAAGAGAATAATTTTTTTTTAAAATGATTTACTAAAAATTTATTTTTTTAATATGACGTGGCATCTATTTGTCATTGGAGGCTGAGATGGAAATGAAAGAGACGGTGAGTTGGCAGCCAGGTAAGCGTGTCGTTAGTTTGATTAACGGTGTTACTGACGCCGTTAAAATATGTAACGGAAATGGCTATATTTGTCATGAAACTTTCAAAATTCTGGCTATATTTGGTATTTCTCCAAAAGTGGCTATTATTGTCACAAACGTGAAAGTTTTGGCTACACAGTTGAATTTTGCCTAGTATATTTAAAGGCTGTGTAGATCTATTATTATTTAGGATTTAAGTAAATTATTAGTGCGAAATATTTGAAATTTGGCACAAACTTTTTGATCATCTATAAAAGTTTTCATACTAACTATCGAGAATCCATCCGTTTCAACAAATGAGTTTTACGGGAAAAAAAATTCAAGAATTGATATATCATTACTTCTTAAATGCTGCCATCCCTCAAATTAATGCTCATCCATCGAGCTCAAGGTTCACACATGAACATATTTTTTTTTTGATCAAAAACACATGAACATATTGGATAGCTAAAGTCCAATAGATTGACTCATTCTTGATATCATACCAATGCATTCTTTTGTCTACTATAATAAGGTCATTACTGTGAATTGTGGCAACTTATAATATTGTGTGCTTGATTAATTTACGGTGTGTACTTATACAAACTTCAAGAATAAATTTTCTGAGTTACTGTGAAATATGTAAATATAAGATCCAATATACTCGAATTTCTCCCAATTGGAGCTGTATGATGACAAATATGGTTTGTTCACACCAGATAGTTTGGTTTAAGGAAACTAGTAACTGCCAGGAATCAGGATATGGCGGTTGGCCGGTTTGGTTGCCGGAGTCGATCGCTTGAGACAAACATGAGAAGGAGGAGGTGATCATGAGACTTTCTGCTTTCCCTCAATGGCAATCGGTTTGATTCTACTTTGCTCCCAATAAGCACATAATTTCGGTTACTATTATTCCTTACGTTGCCCGCCAGTCCACGCCACCAACGGATTCCTTGCTTGTTGGGATTAGGAGTGACAATGGGCAGGTCCAGACGAATATTTCAATATACATACTAGCTTCATGACAGGTCGGATCTAGATTGTATATTCATTATAGAGCATGAGTCGGGGGAGGTCGACCCATATGGGTACGTAGTTTGAAAGGAAAATGTTAGATACTTATTTTTTTTTGGGTTAAAAAATGAAGAAACAAACTAAAATATAATAAAGCTAGTTAAAATTATTAATACAATTGAGGTTTTCGCTTATTTACAACTTTATTATAGCTAAAAGTTTAAAATACGATGTAATAAAAGTAAAATCGTAAGTAATTTGAGAAAATTACATGTAAGTTAGGCAAAGACGGGTAAAAAATGGGGCCAGTCGGGACAAGTCAGGTCAGGTCAAAGAGAATACCCATGCCCGCCCCGCCTCGAAACAAGTCAAACAGATTGAGTCAAACGGGTAAGGGCAAAATTGCCATCGCTAACTGGGATGATTTATATCTATCAACGAATTATACTATCAGAGTACTTGTTGGTTACTACCACCATTATCCTTTCTGTATAGGTCTCAAGCCTGCGTGAAACTCATTAGTACTTTTTTCGGATTTTGCTCTTTCATTACTGTGGGATCGCTCAATCAGTCTAGAAGCAAGCGATCAAAAAATTGTTTTCCATGGGGAGAATGAGGTAGACAGGAATAATATCTCGACCTTTTGATCCCCCCACTAGTCAGTCTTTCCCACCATGTGAGTTCAGAAGGAAGGAATAAAAGTATAAAACTGGTAGACTAGACTGCAACTTGGGTCAAAAGGAGCCATCCTTCCTACCATCGTCAGTTCTTCACAGTACTGGGATTCCCCAAATTCCCACCATCCCTTTTTCTAATCTCGATTCAAGGAACTCAAGAAACCGTTAAACCAAGATATTTAGGATTAATTAGGTAGTGATCAGCAGGTGGGGAAATATCTGATTAAGCTGGTGAAAGTTGCAGGGCGGAAAGCGGGCAATTGGGCTGATATCAGAGGGATAATGCGGTCCAGTCACAGTTAGCCAATCTTTGCCCACCAAGATCAAAGATTCTGTTAATCCTTAATCGCAACCAAATCCGTAGAAAGCAAAGCAGCAGCGCACACAATCTTGCCAAATCTGTCAGCTGGAGGAGTTGGGATGGAGCCACGTAGAAGGCCTGGAGTGGACCAACCCTCATCGGCAGAGTTTTGTTCCCATTTTGCCACTGAATGGTTGGCCAAGGATACCATTTTAGGCATATATTGTTATATTGTCACTCACTCTTTTAACTTTGGTCGGCTGGTTTGGATCAGGATGAAGGAGGCAGCCCACCCACCCCAACACCTTGTCACTTTCGACACGAAATGCACCACTCGCATCACCTTGATGAGCTTCATCGAACAGGGGAGGTTATGGTGGCAGCTGCTGCCTGCACGTACGCGAAAATTGATTATCCGTTTGTCGTGGAGCTTCTCGCCATCCAGGATGTCATCCATTGATGTATTCAGCAAGGTTGCAGGTGGTGATAGCGATGTGAAAGTAGTCTTGGATAAAGTTTAGGAGGGGCAGCAACAACATCAGATGCTCAGGGTAGTGCAATCTCGGCTGAAATTGACGGGCTCTTAACTTTTAATCGTTTCAAGTGATGTTTATTCAGGAAAGAAACAGGGTCGTCCATTTAATGGTGGAAAAGTCGCTTTTATAGTATCCTAGTTCGGTAAGGTTCGATTTTTGTTCTTGACTTTGATCTTTTACTCGGTAATACTAGTGAAGCAATGAGGGGGGAAAAGCTACTTTTCAACTACTCAGACTTAGGTGAAAAGAGTAACACTACAGATTCAATCACCATTGCAGAGTCTTATGGTAAAATCATTACCCCATCATGGTTTGGCCACTAGGCCGAAGGGATAAGGAAGAATCATGAACCTTGACTTCTAAAACATGGTAACAGCAGGGTTGGTCTTCCCTTTGCCTTAGCCTGCAATTTCAAATCATGTGGAAATTGAGCTTCCGCACAAATGTGAAAGTAACATAAAACAAACAAAAATCTGTTCTTTACCTCATAGATCGTATCTCACGTTCCATCTCCCCTTCAAGTCAGCGTTGAAGGTCCAATTGTTCTCTCTAATCTGCAGATATGGCAACTGAAACAAAGACCAAAGGATTGGGAACTAACAAGCTGTACCAATGTAATAGTCATGTTTGAAGGTATGCAGAACACTATGGCAGACTAAAGATGACCAAAACCAAAACTGTCTAAGATGCATAAGGTAAATGCAGGAAGCATCCATTCGAAAGCTCGAAGATTCCTAATGGTAGTCACAAGCAGTCAGCACAAACAGTTTGTTGGTTCAATCAAGTATAATTATCATATGGGCAGAAATTCAAGCTGATCTGTTCGTGCGTTGACTTGCTATTGCCTTCATATCACTCCAGAACACAAACATTACATACAAGAGAGAATCAAGGGAGAAAGTAGGTCTAGCTGAATAGTAAAACAGCAACAAAAAAAGAAAGATTACATTAACGATTCATGGATATATAAGATATTATACCTTGTCAATGACCTCATATCCAACTTTGATCCTCACATCTTGGTCTTTCTGAAAATTGAATATGCTGCAGGAGAGCTCAGTTGCTGCTGTTGGTTTCCTCTGTCATGTTATATGGGAATAATAAGTTCTTCAACAACAAATTGCTATCTAACTTTCTTGATGGCCATAGTTGCAATGAACTAGAGTACTAAACAACTATAACCACTCAAAGTAACCGAGACACAGAGACCATAGTGTGTCCAGTGGTGCCGAAATGAACAGGCAAATTCTAACCCCAAATACCAAGTCGAAAGAAGGAAAAAACCAACCTCCTTGAAATCCTTGTCAAGATGGTACCGACCCTTAACATTGAAGCTGAACATGCCGTCGCTGGTGATGGGGAAAGCCTTCTTACCACGTAAGCTGTACCGAAGCTTTTCTTGCTTGTCATACTGCACTCCCGCACCCAAGCTGGCACCCAACTGATAGTCAATAGTTCCATATGAGGTTTAAGTCAGCAAGGGAAGTTGCTTAAAGTTCCAGTTGAGAAAAATGTCATATTAGCAGCGATTTTAGAACGTACGTCAGGGAGGAAGTGCCTTAAAATTGCACTGACATGGCTTGGCGCTCCAATCCTCGTATCTAGTTCTCCATGAAACTAGCAAAAGAATTGAAATTGCGACAGAAAAGATTTCAGCATTCTTACCCTAGAAAGAAAAGCACAGGCCTTTCCTTCCGTTTTCATGCATTCCCAATTGAATTCACATAATAGAGAAGTAACCCAGAACCAAAAAGCAGCGAACTTTGTTACTTGCGGAGAAAACTAAGATTCCCCACAAAATTAACCAGATACGAAGGGAAGACAAAGCTCGATTAAGAGAGAAGGTTCACCTGCAACTGCGTTTTAGGATCAAAGAAGAGCTTCTGCTTGGCATGAATCCTCAGGGATTCTTCTCTCAGGGTTCTTTTCGAGCCTCCGCTGTATCTCAGAGACGTCTCCATTCGGTAAAGGATATTCTTTCTTTCTCTTCCACCTGAAACTCCAACCCAGTTCTCTCCAAACCCAAAACCCTGGCTGCTTTCAGTCCTAATCTTTCGCTATCCCTTTGAGTCAGCTGAGACTCAAACGAGAGAAGAGAGATTGGAGGGAACAGATAACTCGTGGCCCAAAAAACCCCTGAATCAGTATGGGCTTTTTCTCTTGGGTCGGCCCAATGTTAAGGGAGTCTGGCCCGCTTGAACGCTCTGAAATTCTGAGCTAGTAGCTGAAAATGGAAGGAGAACAAACCGGCACCAGAGAGTAATAGCGAAGAAGGGAACGATCTACTGTCACTGTCTACGACGACGACGACGGAGAGCTGAGCAGAGAAGAAGGAGAACGCGCCGGCGATGGCGGTCGGGATAGGTTTTAGGCGTAGGCTTGATTTTCTGCTGTTGGTAATTGCGATTCTCTCGGCGCCTGTACTTTCTGATCTGATCCTCTCCAAAGTCGAACGACAGGTAACCCTTCTCTATCTCTGCCTCTCATTTCAGCTCAGTCCTTGTAGATCCGGCGAAGAGCTGAGCTGGTTATATGAACAGAAAGAAATAGCGAGAGTCGCCATTGTAATTTGATTTAGATTTGTGAGTTTACGTTTTTTTCTTCTGTTTGGCAGATTGATTTGACCTCACAGATCGCACGCATCTCCTCTACAATCAAAGTTCTTCACCCTACCTTGCTCTTTTCGTTCTTTAATATTGATATTTTCATGTTTCTTATTCTTCATTTCTTGCTCTAACTCTGCCATGTCAGGCGGAGAATGACGGCTCAAGTTCGGTTTCGGAGATTCTGCTGGCCATCCCTGAGCTCCAGGCTAAGAATCTGGCGTATTTGACTGCTAGAGTCATTGAAGGGAAAGGGAAAGCGAGAACTTCTGGTTTAGCTCTTACGGTTGAGCCTGCCAATCCTAAAGGGATGCCGCCAGCTCTGAGTTTCTACTCGATAGTACTGCCCAAGCCTTTGGCTAATGGCGATAGTGTGACCTTGGATGTCTTGGCTGCATTTACCCACAGCTTGAGGCCATTTCCCGAGAAGATCACTCAGGCTGACATTCACCTGGTGTTGTTCCAAGATACTGGACACTATCTCTCTCCTTATCCAGTCAAGGTTCAATCCCTCGCTGTGAAACTGCCCCAGGCTAGGATTGAGTCATACACGAAGCTCGATAACACAAAGACTCTTGGCTCGGAGATCAAATATGGCCCGTATGAGAACCTCCCGCCATTCTCATATTCTCCAATCGCCATACATTTCGAAGCCAACCAAGCATTTGCTGTTGCTCGGGAGCTAGTGAGAGAGATCGAGATCTCCCACTGGGGGAATGTGCAAGTCACCGAGCATTATGACATTGTCCATGGAGGTGCCATGAGCAAGGGTGAATTTTCCAGGTGGAACTTCACTTTTTTTTTGTAACCTTTAATGGTCCTTGCTGTAGATTCCATGCTACCATTCCGATTGAATTGTGGTCATGAGTGTGGCTGAAGGCTAATGTTTACTTGCGTACTTCCAACCTACAGGCTTGACTACCAGTCCAAACCCCAAATTCGTGGTGCATCAGCCTTTAAGCATCTTGTTGCTAAACTGCCTCCCAGGGCTCATTCTATCTATTATAGGGATGCGATTGGAAACATATCCACATCCCATGTGAGGGGGGACTCAAAGAAGGTTGATATCTCGAATTATCAATAGACGTGTTGCAGGTTGTTCGAGTTGGTGGCTTTTGATTTTGACCTCAAGATTTTCTTTGCTTGCAGACAGAAATTCTTATTGAGCCTAGATATCCATTATTTGGTGGTTGGAGGACTGCATTCACTATAGGATATGGTTTGCCGCTTCACGATTTTGTGTTCGAGTCAGAGGGGAAACGTTTCTTGAACATCTCCTTTGGTTCCCCTATGCATGACATCGTGACAGATAGCATCACTTTGAAGGTTTGTATGGATCATTGATGCATGAATTCTCCTTTCTCTGTTTGTTTACCTTGACCTTTTCACTTAGTGTGATTGCCCTATGTGATGACATTTATCTCCTGCCGCATTTCTTTTGGCTATACAAGGTTCTTATGATAACCATATTAGGCATATTTAATTTTGGCATAGTGACCTTTGTAATTTGTATGCATAACAAGGCAAAATGGATCCCTGTTCGCAAGGTTGTTATACAGTTGCAACTTTAAATTGTGCTTAAACTTTTCAGCAGAACTATGTATCTAGCCTGATGTGCTGATGTTAAGGGTTTGATTCAGGTTGTGTTGCCAGAAGGATCCAAGTATTTCTCTGTTTCTACTCCATTTGCTGTCCAACAGGAGGAAGAGGTATTGAGAGATAATAATTAATGTTGACTCTCTTTACTGTTGTGCTCTTGATTTCGTCAGAAATTTACATTGCGGAGCTTGTTCTTTTATTGGATAATCATTGTGATGACCTAATGCAGATAAAAATGTCTCATCTAGATATTTTTGGCCGACCTGTTGTTGTGCTGAAAAAGGCTAATGTTGTGCCAGAGCATAATCAGTTTTTCCAGGTAAGCATTACTCTCCCTTTTCATGATGTTAAAATTTGTTAAGACATACCTATATAGTATGAGATGTGAGGGCTTCAGTTACTATCTAGCATGATATCAGAATGATGGACAGATACATGAGTGGCTTTAAGCACTTACATGATGGATGGTCTCTTTTGGCTTCATTTGGCTTAAACATTGTAATTGTGGTCATTGTGTAGGTCTATTACAAGTTCAATGCACTTGCAATGCTGATGGAGCCATTTATGTTGATAACTGGAATCTTCTTCCTTTTTGTCACTTGCATAGTTTATGTGCATGTTGACTTATCAATCTCCAAGTCTTCAGCTTCATATTTAGCAAAATTGCAGTGGGATGAGGTAATGGCATCTTTTCATTTTCTTGACTTCATCTCAATTCAAAGATTGAAACTTTTGGAGAGTAAAAAACCTTATTTATATCCTCTTCATTACTACAGGTGAGAGCAACAGTGCAGCAGATTCAAAATATCATCAACCAGTGTCTATCCACACACGAAAAGCTAGAAGCATCACTACGTGACCTCTCCAGAACTGGAGATGTTCAAGCTTGTAAAGCCGCTCGCAAGGCAGCTGATGGCTTGTTGAAGGAGCTGTCGAAAGAGCTGAAGCCCTTGATCGCATTCTTGCAATCTACACCTCCTGCTGCTCATATTTTGCCCAAGGTTCATTCTCATTCATTAACACCTCACTCATTATTCCTTGTAGAAAAGGGTTTATTAGATCTCTCAATTTATATTGCCTTTGCATAATAGGTAGAGGAGCTGGTAGCAAAGGAGAGGGAATTGCAGGAGAGGCTGATGGCCAAGCACTCAACCATAGTCGATTCCTACGAGAAGAAGCTTGGAGGAAAGGAAACCGAGAACCGGGTTGCTTCCGTGCAACAGAAGATTGTAGCTTTGAGACAGGACATTGAAGATCTGATGGAATACATCGATGAAATATAAAAGGTCGGTTGCAGGATCGAATAGAATGCCCAAGTTTTGGTAGACTGGCACTGCAGAATTATGCTAGGAATTTGTATTAGACGTTTCCTCTACTAGTTGTGAACTTTTATAGCTATTAGAAGAAGAGGGCGTTGACGGTTGTTAAGAATTTCAGTCCTTCAGCTGTAACCAACATTGAACGATAGCATGGGATTGAAATGGCTTCCATAATTTATTATCTATAGAATGGAAGTGCTCCGACTGGAACCTAACTAACGGCCAGAGAGGCATTCTTCGATTGGGATGTTCTTCCGGTTCCTTCTTTCAATGGCCTCCGACGGTTGGCGTCGGAAGAACCACCAGGCTCAGTAACGATGGCAATGTGGTGCTGACAATTGCGCGCCTTCTGGAATGCCAATCGCTGGAAACTGGTGCCGACTCTGCTTGCACTGTAGTCGGCAGAAGTTTACCGTGGCCAGGATTGTTACTGCTGGTTCCGGCGAGAATGCATCTCTGTAAGCTTCCCTCAATTGGAATGGAAGCCATGGCTGAAACAGAGGAATCCCAAGGAAGCAAAACAGAGAAGGAAAGAAAACCCTAACTAAAGAGAAGGAATCAAAACATCTATATCCAGCCAAAAAGACGGTCCTGTCCTTCCATGGACCCCTTTTGCATTCGCGGAAACAAAGTAGTTAGTAGTTACCCGCCCTCTTTGGTTGTTGATGCAATAAGCAAACTCTACTATGGCTTCAAAAATTCTGAATGCCTTCCTTCAAAATTTACAATCCAAGTGCTTATTCAGTACATTACATACACCATCATAGTAATTAACAAATCTACAACAACGGTCTCTTTTACCATCAACCAATGATAAAGTTTGAATCAGTCAAGCGGTAGGTCGTGTGCTCTACAACCAAACGTCATAATAATCCGAACCAAAATAGAGATAAAATGTTAAAATAAATTCTTGAATCTAACTTAAAAGATCACGTTGACCATGTCGATCCCCATTGATATCCACTGTCGCCATAATGTTGGCCGACGACTCACCATCTGCGTCATCTCCTGCGGTATGACTTCGGTGATGGACTCCATCGTGGGTATGATCATCGTCGTGAGCGTGCTCCGTCGGGTGCGGATGCTCAGATTTCTTGTCATGCGCCTGCTTGTGTGCTTTCTTGTGCCATTGCATCAAGGCCTTTGATGTTTGTTCATCAAAGATCGATCGTTTCATCGTCGAACCCATCTATAAAATATATAAGCGTACATAAGAATCAGATTATCTGATCGTTCATAATTATGAGTAATGAAACTAATTTCAAATGTTTTGAATTTGATTAGAACCTGAGTAACAAGGGCATAGAGCGGGAGTGTGATGTAACTGCATAGAAATTGAGCTCCAATCCTGGTCAAAGTTTACATTTGTCAGAATCAATAAGTTTAGCCATATCTATCCATCTCTCTTTGTTCTGTCTAAGTCTCTCTATCTATGCATCATATTAACATATGGGTTTAGGTTTTCTTTTGTTGGATTTTACCCGATAGTAACTCTGATCACTGGGATTACAAGGTGTTCGTGGAAGCAAGACTTCCACCCAAACTCATACTGCAAACCACCAAAGCAAATCAGGCATATGGTAAGAAAACACCCCCAAAAGAGAAGGAATCATTTTGAAGCATGTTTCATTCATTCAAATTCATAAATTTTACCCATATCCAAAATGAATAAGTGAGCTCAAACGCATTTTGGAACAGAGTAAAGTGGATGATGTAGAGGATCAACTGAGGCCAACTGAACCAAAAATGTCTGTCAGAGACTTGCACAAGGGGAATCCCTTGTACCACAGCATGCCTTTCTGTAATCTCGATCGCCATCTCCGTTATGATTGCTTGAAGCTTCGTTCCGACTGCCAAAATCATCTTCATCACACCCATAACACTAAACTAGTCACTTCGTCGATCATCATCGTCAAACATTGTACAGGTAACAAGGATGGAAGGAAGAAATGTCCTTACAACTACTGGCAGCAAAGACAGGTAGAACATCACATGCCATCCTGAAAAAAAGAAGTATTTGAGAAAAGTTAAAGAAAGAAGAAGAATGGGATGAATTGATGGAAACTGAGTAAAAGGAAGAACTTTCACTGACTGACCATGAACATTCAGAAGCATGAACAAAACCACAGAAGCCCATAGCAGTGGACTGCCACACACACACACAGAAAAGTTAAGTTTCACAAAGGGGAAGAAAGGTTGCGACAAACCAAAATCAAGAAGCTACTAACGTGATTCCCACAACAACTTTGAAATCATCTTCCAGAGATCTCTTGATGTACTTCTGGAAATCAAACTTAGTCCCAGGTGCCAAATGAACCTGCACAAGATCAGCTGCATTCCATCATTCAATTACATAAACAACAAACATGTCTTTGCAAGTTAAAAAAAAAAAACCCCCCTGCAATTAGATTTACTCACAGAAATGAAACCGTGCCGCATTGTCAAGTAGTCAGCTCTGCTCACAGACCTAAAGAACTGTCTAAAGAAGCATACCTACATAGCCAACACAGCAAAGTAAAGCACCAGTTGATTTTTTTTTTGTTTTGTTCCACCATTGATATTGTGAAGAAGCAGAAACCCCCCACTTTTTTTAATCAGGTTCTTACCACATAGAAGGAGACTGGCGTTTTGGTCCAAAAACTAGTGTGGGATTTAACAAAGGACGTCTCATGAGTAAGCCTGAATCTCGTTGGATCTGCACGAACGATGATCGAATGAAGTATAATACTCGTACGCAAGTGATTGATTGACGCGAAGTAAGTCTTACCATTCAAATGCTCGTGCTCCTTGGCACCTATAGCTTCCCACTCCTTCCACCCACGAATCTAACACACACGAAAATTAACACCAAATTTTAGCTCCCACTTAGATGCTAATTTTGAGAGCTCAAGCGCAAGATCAAGTGTTGGTTTAATGTAACCTTTAGTCGCCCAAGCAACATGGTTATGGCGCTGTAGATAACATGGAAAACTGCCAGGAAAAATATGAATATGTGCAGTTGGTGCAGCCCATTCACTGAAATCATCGGCATTTTCCCCTGAATGAAACGGGAAGAAGAAGAAAAAAAAGACAAAAGGAACAAACTTTTTAAGAACCCAATTGAAAATTTGAGCCCAAAATTTGATTGTTGATTGATTGATTAATTAATCACCGGGGCACAAAGTATAGGTCCGCCATGCCCACTAAGCTCTCTGCGTTCGTACCAGAGCAGCTTCCGGTGATTCTCCGCGGCAGCTGCGGCGGCAACGGCAGCCTCGGCACCTTCTTTGTGTTCTCCGCCACCGCCGCCGCCGGCTTTATCCGGGCCAGCAACGTCACCGAGATCGTGGCCGCCGGTGTGGCTCAAGTCGCAGGGCAACATAGAGTTGGCGTATTTCGAAGGCACGCAGATTTGGGCGATGTAATTTTGACTGAACGTCAGCGTCAATGATATGAACCCCAAAACCATCAATTCTGTAAGGAAAACCAGATCATTAACCTTTCAATTCAAACAAACCAAAATTTTGTTTTTTTTTCCTCCACCCTTTGTTTACCTCCTTTGATTTTTGCTAGAGCTTCCACCAGAGCTTTCTTGTGCCTCTCGTGAAACCACTGCAAATCAACACACAGACAAATCAATATTAGGCTAACAGTCAATTCAATTAATCTGATTCAAAGTGACGAATCCCAATTCGTTAATTTGAAATAAGAAGCCTGATGAATCTGTAATCATTTTCGCGCTACCTCTTCGGTCAAGTGGAGGAATTTCTCCAAGACAATGGAGATGACGATGATGGCAGCGCAAACAACTGCGACGGCCCACGTCGGCGTGGCATCGAGCTCCCTCGGCCGGGCTTCTCCTGCTCCTCCTCCTTCGCCGCCGCCTCCCCCCATCTCTGTCTCTAAAACTGTACCCTATTCCTGCCGGAGAAGGAGAGATAAGAAGACGTGGTTGGATTACAGAGGTTGTAAATTGTTCAGTTGCGGGGGCATAAAACAGAGTCTCTTTTGCTCTGTTACGGAATGTGAAAATTGGAAAGGGCAAATCCGAATGAAAGGAAGGGGAAAAAAAACAGAGCACGAGGAAGAAAAGGGGGAGAAAGGGTCGCTCTTCTTCTTCTTCTTCGCTCTGCATTTTTTCTTTTACTTGTGCAATTTATCGTAGACTAAAAATGGCAAAAAAAAAATTGGGAAACAGAGGAAGAGAGAAAGAATTTGGGAAGTGACCGGTTGTTATTCAACCAGACCTATGTTACCGTGCCGCCATCCTTTATTCTCTTTCCCGCTTTTTTCCCGTTACTTACACTTCGCGCCCAGCACATGGTTACTGTATCATGGGCTTTTCATTAGACTGGACCAATCTGACAAAGCCCAACTGGCTCTAGGATTGTGATGTAAATTGCATTTGGTTGAGCATAAGATAGGGTGGTAGTTCACAAGAAACATACAAAGAAAATCCTAATTTATCTTTTCTTAGTGATTGATGGATTTGTAAAGAGGATTGCTATTCCTCGCCCTAAAAACTTTATTCATCGGCTTAATTATATAAAAGTTACTTTAATGTCCTTTGTGATTTCAATCTCAAATGAACCATGGAATCGTGTTATTGCCGCCGACTGGCTTTTAGTTTTGCTGTCTTCTCACAGCTTCGCCACCAATCATAGACTTTTATCCGATCTTAGAGACCCTAACTGTGACCAGGCTTGTCCTCCTTGCTTTTGACCTCGGATCAATTGGCTGCCCTTTGGTCTGAATAAAAAAAATGAAAATCTTCCTTGCTACTCTCACCAATACCGATTCCAAACTACATGATCTCCATATTGTCGATCCCGGTCTGAGATGTTCACAGAGCAAATTAAGCATTAATTAACTTGTTCTCTCATTTCTTTTTGTTTCGATTTTGGTACTTTTGATGTCTGTGGACTGTGGGTGCATATCAACACCGGGATCCGATCAATAATTGGGTGGAGATCATGTTCGACTGTCCGAGCTTCTTCCTTGCGGACTCCCAGTCGCTTCAAATTGGCCGCCGAGCTGGAGCTGGGATATGGACTTCACGTTCCATATGAGGAGGGCGAGCTTCGTCGTCACCGCGCCGACATGGCGGTATTCTTCGTGACCGTGTCGGTTGGGGATTGAAATTGAAAATAGGGGCTGGTGGGTAAAGTTAGGGGTTAGGGGTATAAACGTTAATGTAGTATTATTTAGGGAGATTTTTTTTTAATTTTAGGGCGACAAATAACGGTTCAGTTGTAAATTCATTTCTTTTTCCTTTCTTCTCAATAAAGAAATGGTTAATAGCATTTTGTACCTCTCTATTATTGTCTATTTACAATGTATCCTTCTACTAATTTTTACACGAATATACCCTTCTAATATGAAAACGTAAAGATTGTACCCTTCCATCCAATTTTCTGTTAAAGGACTGTTTAATGGGCTGTAAAATGACCTTATTACCCCTCATTAACTCCTAATTTTGATTTAATTAATTTTTATCCTTAAACAAATTTAATTAATAATCAAAACCTACCCCACTATGGACGCCACGCCTCTTCGACAGCAGCGTTGATTCTTCCTCTTTACCCCGAGTATAGCTATTTACATCAATCAAATCGTAGGAAGAATCGTTGAAGCAGAATAAACAGATACCAAAGGCGAATACGAAGAAGAGGAGGAAAAAGAGGAGCAGGAATTGAAATCATCATTATAGGTAGTGCCAGGCTGCCAGCAACGGCACTCTCACCGCCGTCACCATCCCAGTGATCCGCATCGCCGTCGGTTTTTGATCGGGACACCCCCCAGCATTCCTGGAAGCCAAACGGCGGGGCCGAAAAATGACCGGCATAAGCCAAGTGAAATCAACAGATCTGGCTGGCTGGCGGCGGGGAAAAGTTAATCTGCTAACTTGAAGATTCGTTAGCAGATACTAACTGATATCCAAAATACATGAACTAGTATCCAAGTACTAAAGTATCTAGAGAGCACATACTAGTATTCAAGGTTTGCTAACTGATATCCACCATGAATAAACTATTATCCCAAATTCACAAATTAATATCTAGACAACACAGAATAATATCCATACAACACATAATTAGTATCCAGATAACACATAAGAGTATCCATATTGAATACTAGTTGGTTGATTGTACATATTAGTTAGTATATGCTATCTGGATACTAGTTTGTGATGTTTTGAATATTAGTCTGTGCTATCTAGATACTTTAGTAAAATCAGCAGACTTGGATACTAGTATAAGAGTTAGCAGAATAACTAGGCTGCTGGCGGCGGGACAGGGAGGAAGAGTCTCTCAAGAGAATCCCAATTTTCTATGCTCCAAGGGAGTCGCCGACTAGGGGGTAAAGAAGAAGAAGAAATGTATGTTGTTGAAGAGGCGTCCATAGCCGGTAGGTTTGATTATTAATTAAATTGGTTTAGAGATAAAAATTAATTAAATCAAAATTAGGAGTTAATGAGGGCCAATAAGGTCATCTTGTCGTTCACTAAACGGTCCTTTAACAGAAAATTGGATGAAAGGGTATAATCTTTACGTTGTCATATTAGAAGGGTACGTTCGTGCAAAAGATTAGTAGAAGAGTACGTTTGTTAATAGGCAAAAGAGAAAGTACAAAATACTATTAACCCATAAATAAAAGAAAAGTTAACAGGGATGACATAGAAAATTGCATAACGGAAGGGATATGTGCTAACAACGAATTTGTTAATATGGTAATGGTGCTAATACTTGCTCCGACCAATATGAGCATATATTTTTGATAATTTTTTATATATTTTAAAGTGTTGACCACAATAATAAAGATTTATAAAAGAGGGGCACGCTGGTCATTATAAAAAAAATTGGGAGTGAGGAGACACACGCCTGTTGTATTGATTGAGGTTGCATTAATTTGGGGGCCACAAAATACAAACCAAAAAAAGAACAAATATATCAGAAAACTTATAAAGCATACCAAGTGTGGTACATTGATGCCTAATTTATGAATTTTTTGTAAAAAAAATTATAATATAAGTCGCAATTGCTTGAATAACTGCTTTCAACAACACTTCTTTTCCTCCCATTGATGACATAAAGCTCTGCCATGAATCTCCCTTGTCCATTTTATCAATCAAGAACATGCAAGTCTCTTTCTTTAATTTGCCCCATTCAGATGAGACTCCTTAGTACATATCATGACAGATAGAAGGAGGGAAGCCAAGTTTTTGAGCCAAGTAGCCAACAGTATTCTAAGAACTTACAGAGTTTTCTTACTGAAAGAAAAAAATGACAATTTATCCAGATCGATCTCTTGACTTATTACGTCACCAACTCACCATAATGTTTCAAGATTTTCTGGATATGCTATACCTTCATAATATTTGCTTTGCAGAATATAACAATATCATCATCAAATAAGTAGTGAGAAATTCTTGGGTGCAGTCAAAATCGAGATTTTGATCGTAAAATCATAGGATTTTAGGATTTTACTTAGGGATTCCGATCCTGATTTTACTTTAAAATTGATGGACCTTAAAATCGTTCAAAATTGAGATTAAAATCATAAAATCATACCAAAATCGGGATTTTGATCCTACGTGAACAAAATAGGCAGTTTGAGCCAATTCAAAAGAAGTAGAACTGTTTTGGCGGAAATGCCAATGACGGGGATCTTCTTAGATATTTTTCCTATTAAAAGAACATTTGAAAAGAAAAAATAAATAAATTAGGGTTCGGTCAACCCCTTTCCCTTCCCGTTGTTTAACTCATCGGTAAAACCGTTGTCATGATATTATAAATACGTAAGAATTAACATCATTAATAACAAATTAATTGATTAATGAATATATTTGCACCAAACCAATCACATTAATAATTTTATTAGAGTTCACTTATTCTTAGTTTTAAATCATACTTAGTAGATGATGTCGGAATACTACTTTGAGTTAAACTACGTAAACACAACATGAAAACAAGAGCCAAACCCCATGAGCTCTATCCATTTCTCAAAAATTATTTTGAGTTACGCATTAGATAACAATTAAAATGATGATTTTGGAATATTAATCTTGAAAATTATCATTTTGAATGTTGTCTTTGTCTTATTAATGATTTACCTTATTAATATTATTATATGTTAATTTCTATATGATACTTAAAATCCTACGATTCGATTTTATGATTCCGATTTTACTCCAATTTTTTATTTTAGATAAAATTCCGATTTTGACTGCTTTATCCTTGAGTAGTTCTGATTTAGTTTAATCTCCTGAATCACCTCAAGCAACTCCTTGGCAATAAAAGAAGATATAGCAATATACATAAGGATAAATAAGAATGGGGAAATTGGATTAATATGTCGAATAACTATATTCAGGTAGAAAGGTTCGGTGGGACTGTCATTCAAAAGTATGGAGAATTTCACAGTTCTTACACATGCATTGATCCATCCACTCCACCTATCAAAGAAAACATAAGCTTGCAGTATGGAGTCAAGACATTCCCAATCAACTAAGTCATATGCTTTTCGCATGTCCAACTTGATCATCATATTCCAGTCTCCATTGTGAGATTCTTGAAGTGGTGGAGTATCTCATGGACGATTATAAATGATCTTGAATGAGTCTACCACACGTGAAATTCCATCTTAGAGACTAATTCCGATAACCACTTCTTCATTTTGGTGAATAGAATTCTGGAAATCGACTTTGCACCTGAAGTTACAGTAGCTAATAGGGGTAAACTGTTTGAGACGACTGGATTTTAGGAATGAGGGTTATATTTATGTCATTCCATAATAACATTCTCCCAACAACTTGAGTTACTGGGATCAACGGGTTTATGATATTGTGTCAAAGCTGGTTTGTTATTGAGATCACGTGTTCAAGTTCTCACGACCCCCAATATTAATCATTATCTTAAAGCACGTGGTATGAGGAGGCCTGTGCAAACTTCAAGTCCATGAGTAAGCTTTTGTTTGAGGGGGACTTGTAAGGAAGTGGTTAAGTACCTTACATAAACCTCTATCAACAACTCGAATTATTGGGACCAGTAAGTTTATAACTGTAGTCTCAAAAAAATCTTGAACATCCTTGCAAAAATCTGGCCTTGTTTTGTCCCTGTGTCTTTGAAAGAACATTACAGCAAAACAATCTGGACCATTGAATTTTGTAGGACCCAAGTA